AACTGACACTTCATTCGTTTTCGATAGAACAAAACAGACGGATGGTAGTTTCTACCAGAACTGTCGAAATTTTAGTCAAACCACGTTGGCCATTCTCACGGGAAACAGTGAGTTGAATAAAGCCGCTGGAGTCAGGTTTCTGTTGGAGTTGCGAGCGAGCCTTCACGACCCAAATAATGAAAGTTATCGTTATTTCATTAATTTATAAATATAGGTTGGTAAGCCGATATACTAAAATGCTAACATTAGATATTAACTTTTGTCAACAATCACGGCCTTGACCATCTGCTGTCTCGCACGGCTCAACTTTGATAGATACCGGCAAAACAACTTTGTTCTTCTATCGAATTGGAATGGCTTTGGCTTGCACGTCTTTTCTATAGGCTAACACATGTTTTTGACACTTTTAGCCAACAATCCTGATTCATAACATTTTCCTTAGTCGGAATCAGGTTCGATTTAGGCAGCAAACTCCACCAGTAGCCTGGTTCTATCCAAACAGGAATTTGTCGTGTATAAATATTTGAAGTTGAAATTTTTCATCACTGTCTCTATTTCGCTGTAATTCCTTTGCCGTTCTTTAAAAGTTGTTTCACTCGATTCTGATTCAACGCTCTGAGTAAAGACGGCATTAGATTCTGAAGCATTTTTTTGACAGCATTAAAGAAAAATGAATTGGATATGAACTGCAGTTGCCAAAATTGCAGTGCCTCCTACAGCAGAGTGCCTAAAATGAAAGTATGAACCGGTCTGATAAAAAAATTCAGTCATTCGCTGACAAAGCAAAATGTCCACTGTATGCCATTAACAGCATGCGAAACCCTGATTTAAACTTTTATTACTCAAACAAATCCACGAAAAGATGACAGTTTTCAACAGATCCAGGTAGCATAAAATTTATAGCGGATGCAAACTTCGCACAGAAACAGAGGTATCACAGTTAAGGTATTTCCATGCATAAAATGACATGCTTATCATCACCTATACAACACTCTCTGTATCACTGACGTTAAAAGTTAACTAACTAAATCCCTGACTGGTGGAACAGTAAATTTAATAAAGAAAAAATATTACCGCAACAGTAACCCTAAAAGCACGCAAACCAGTCATGGCACTCCAAATATATGCAGGTACTTTCTTATCTTTAAGAATACACTCCGGGACTGAAACGATAAATTTTCGGTACAACTACGTACGTGTAAACACCACTATATATTGACAATTGCGGCTGGCAGATATGATAACATAGCGAAAAGTCTCCATGCTGTGGGTAAATTTCATTACTAAATAATAGTAGCATGGCTTGACTGTGAACGGCGATATGTGCTTGTTCCATTTGTCAGAGCGCTCAGCGAAAAGACCATGGGAAGGCGAAGACTGTAGGCCGTTCGCATATATTTGACGGAACGTGCGCGGATAGGCCGTCGCTAAGGGGGAGCGGAAGACCTAAAGTAAATGGACGGCCGAACGAAGCGATGGATACGTACTGTTCTTGGAGTGCTTTGTCGTGTGCAATTAAAGTTGTCATTCTTGAACTTGGTGCGTGACCATCTTCAAATAGTTACATAACAGCGGTGTGCCAAGGGTGAGGTTTTCATTTCGAGCAGACCCCCGCGGAGTTCTGTTATAAAGTCATTTAGAGTTAGACTATTTCGATTAGAAATCAGTCGCAAGAACTGCACAAAAGTTTCAAACGCGTACATGAATAGCGAGGAAGCTGATCAATATATGCTAAGTAGTAATACGAGTGAAATACATGTGATGAGAAAATGATTATGAGTGTGAATATCTTTGGGCCTCTTAGCAAGGCAGGAACCGCACAACTTCATTCGGTCAATAATTTCTACTCTTTCTTTGTAGTACCCCAATGTAAAGCTGGAGAGAAGAAGATGGATTATGATTGGGATGATTTGTGAAGGATTAGGAAGGGGAGAGAGATTTGTGTTTCTGATTAAGAAGAAACACGTGATACCATTTAATGAGTTAATCACGGTCTCGCTGCAGAGAAAAAATAACCAGTGATAGTAACAGCCAACTGCCACTATTCACGTTCATCGACGATTGCAGACCACGAAAAACATTCGGCTAATCAGTGCATTTTGTACAATGAAATGTAGCACGACCACCAATTCAGCTACAAAAGAATTAAATTGCATAGCTATAATGCAGAATTCTACACGGTGCGATGTTGCGTTTTCATGGACAAAGACGTTTTCATGTCGATTCTCACCAAAGGTAAATGGTCAAAAAGGTTATTCGCTACTTAATAAACGATTTTCGAAGCTCTGCTAATGGCAAACAATTGAAACAGCAAATCTTAACAATGGTTCCAAGCCCGGTTGGAGACCGTGGCGAAGTCTCCGTAAAATTTCGCCATCGGCCCTTCATGGTATTGACGTCATCGAAAATCATACCGGCTCGGTCATCGCCCGGATTACCGAGGGCCGCGCAGGCTGTTGCCGGGCGCGGAGGCAGACTGCGGAAAGTCAGCGATCAGAACCTGCTCATCTCCTTCGGGGGGGGGGAGGGGATAGCAGCACAACAACTGCTGACGAAGACCGACGGAACGATGACGAAGATACCAGTCAACAACGGAGTCCCTCTCAGTTCTGAACCGAAGAGGCAGACAGCGCGATGTCATTATAGCACTTATAGCACATCAGAAAATGCTCCTCTAGAACGACACCGTCAGTGGGAGCTTACTGTCGGAAATTGGAATATATCTTCACTGAGAGCAAAAGAACAAGAGTTAGTTGATCAGGCCATTAAGTACCAACTCGAAATTGTTGGACTCTCATCAACGAAGCGCCAAGGCTCTGGAATCCTCAGCATTGGATGGAAGCTATGCTACGCAGGTGTCGATATCGCGACGCGCGCTTAGGAGGTGTTAGTGTTCTGGTAGAACTCAATGTCGTACACAGAATCATTGATTGGAAGCCTGCCAACGGAAGGGTGGTAATCCAGTCATTAATGCTACAAAAGGCCAAAGCGCTGACCTTGGCACAGGGTTCTGTTCAAGTATCTCGCAGTCGCATTTACTAGTGATGGAAAAATTTGAGGAAGAGATCGACCGGCAAATTGGATTAGCCAGCGGCGTTCTATGTGAACTAGCCCAATCTGTTGTGACTAAAGCAGAGTTTAATCTGAAAACTAAGCTCTCGGTATTCAAATCGATCTTTATCCTCATGCTTACCAACCGTCACGAATCGTGGACCGTGACTGAAAAGCTTCGAATCCGGGTACAAGCCACTGAAATGATCTTCCTGAGAGGAGTCGCTGTTCTTACGCGTCTCGACATAGTTCGGAATACAGACGTCCGGAAGAGCCTTGATGTACCGCCTCTGCTTTTCCAGATTGAGAAATCACAGCTGCGACGGCTTGGGCACGGGTTGTGAATGCTTCCAAAAAGGAAGGCTAAGCATCTGTTCCTTGCAAATCCGACCGGCAGAAGGCCCAGGAGCGACCAAGATTAACCTGGTGCAAATATATGTAAGTCTGTTCCAGACTCCGGTTGTCTTTTGCCGAAGCTGGGACTCTGACAGAGGTTCGTGAACGTTGGAAGCGGCGTTGTCTGCCGCATTTTTTTCCGGAACTCGAGAGGAGAAGCGGCCAGGGAAGATGGAGATGAAGACATTAACAATAATAACAAAAAGATATATATTTCGTTTGTTTCTCCTGGGTAGCTTTAAAACTTAAGGCAAATAATGAGAAACAAGAATCCTCAGCGCCCTCGGAAAGTCAATCTTTTTCTGGCCACCATCAATATGGAACTGCTCTATTAATGCGTAAATTGAGAGACAAAATTATATTATGCGAATTATGTCAAATACAAAATGAATTGCAATAAGTATTCACAAAGCTTAAGACCCATGTCAAGATAATATCTCCGCAATTTCTTAAACTTCATTGTTTGCGCAATGGCTTGTTTAACATACCAGGATATCAGGTCGTGTTAATGACTGATACAACTTGAAGTCGCTATTCTCTCAATTCAATTCTGCCCGTAAAATGATTCATCGCAATCGAATGCCACGACGGTAATGAGGGAAAGACGTCGGTTCTTCAATTGTTCGATAAATGGCAGGTTAACTATTTTTCTTCCAATCAACAGTTCGCCAAGATCGACTGAATGTCCAATCCAGCATCGATAGCTCTTGGCGTAGTTCACAGATAAGTCTTTTCTCCACTGCTTTTCATCATCTTCTTATAAC